TTTCTTTCTTTCTTTCTTTCTTTCTTTCTTTCTTTCTTTCTTTCTTTCTTTCTTTCTTTCTTTCTTTCTTTCTTTCTTTCTCCTCCCCCACCCAAGAATTTAACTCAGGTCCTTTGCACTAACCTATACCCCAGTGGGCTGGGGATATAGCTCAGTGGCACAGCACTTGCTTAGCAAGGGCAAGGTCCTGAGTTCAATTCCCAGAATCAAAACAACAACAACAACAACAACAACAACAAAAAAAAAAAACCAAAAAAACAAAAAAAAACAAAAAAAGAAAGAAAGAAAAAGAAAAAAAGATATTGTAACCTATATCCCCAGCCCCCTTTTTTTCATTTTCTATTTTGAGACAATGTTTGGCTAAACTGCCTAACAGCCTAGTTCAAATTTGTGATCCTCTTGCCTCAGACTCCCAGAATGCTAAGATTATAGGTGTGTGCTGCCATGACCCACTGAAAGTGTTTTCATTTGAACATAATGCAGCAGATTGCATTCTGGGCCACACGAAGGTGAATTCTGGTGAAAACCAGAGCCTGATATTCTGACCAGTTTTGTCAAGCTGTGGAGGCTGAATCTCTTCCTCCTAAGATTTATAACAGAGGTTAACAAAGAAATGATATGGCTAGAAAATGCACAGACTGTGCTATAGCAAGTTTATCAGCTCTCTTTGTCCAAACAGGAAAAATAAATACCCCGAGGTCTGCAGGAATTTTCTTATTTCAACTCAATCACCAAGTACATGCCTAGAAAATGGCATCATTTTCAAACTTTTTGATCCATTTAATAGTCTCTGTTTGGACTTACTCTGCTTGACTTTTAAAGGCAGTTTATAATAAGATTAAAATTTAGTCTGTGGCTCAGTGGCCTGTGTCCGGTTTCTTTCTCCGTACTGCTCTGCCGGCCTATCTAGGATTTTTGTGTTGTCTCTGTTGCTTGTTTCCCTACCAAGCTGTTCTGGCCCAACCACTCACTTGGGTTCCTGCTGTGGCCTTCTAGCCAGTCTCCTTGATTCTGTGATTCCCGTCCAGGAGTGCTGACACTCAGGGAAAGTAGAGAGCTGTTTTAAAAATACAAACACGAGCAGAGGACCGTTCACCTCACACTTCCCAGTGGATCTACGTTACATGCAGAGTCACAGAGGCTTGCGATGACCTGCAAGGCCAGATTGAACCCCACGCCTGGCTTCCTCGCAGACCTCCTCTGTCCTGCTTCCTGTTGTTTACGCTCTCCCAACCCACACACATCCCTGTTCTTTCTTGAATACCCCTCTGTTGCAGGTGTCTTGTGCACAGACAGCCACATGGCTTGTTTACAGATGAAAAGGTATAGTTTTTACTGCAAATAAGGAAAGTCACTCCAAAAGAAAAAGAATGCTTGCCTAAATAAATATTAAAAAGTTAGAGTATGAAAGAAAAAAGTACAAGCACACAATGAAGACAAAGTATTAAAAATATAAAAGTTTTAAGTACAGTCTTTAAAAAAATTACCTGTCCATGTGAGCGAGGCTAACTAGCTGGTCAAGGAGCCCTGGCCAGGCTACCAGGAACTCCGCAGGGAGGCTCCGCAGGGAGGGAGGGGAAAGGGGAAGTTAGGGAAGGAGAAAGAAAGTATATTTCTTTCTGAATTGTGAAAAGAAAATAATGATCTCCTTGAATACGGACTGAAAATAATAGGGGGAGGTGAATTAATGATTTCTTGCAGTCTATAAAGCTCCCCCCTCATTATAATTCAAGAAAAGATAATGGAGGCATCAAAAGCATTTTATTGCTGTAAACACAATTGTTTGGAAATATAAACCATCTTAAAACAGGCAACAGATGATGAAGCAAAGAACTGGCACCCAAACAGCCCCAAACCTTTTGTATTGACGCTCAGAGAAAAACGTCTTGTTTTAAACATCACCAAAGACGAATATTAGAGTTTTAAAATGCTTGAAAAATAGGCATCAAAAGAAAAATAAATTAGACTAAGCACAGTTTGATCATAAATTGTTTAGTAAGTTAAATATAGCTAAATGGAAGGGAATGTAGAGAATTAAAAAATAAATTATTCATTCAGGCTTTGTTCTGACACATTGAATAACCTGGAACGGAAGACATACTTGATTTTGTGCGAATTATTGTATATTTTGGGGCAATGCAGAATAGGCCTTAAAATGCCAGAAATTGAAGGTTAGAAATTATGAAATCTGCGTGGAAAAGTAGTCCAGTTCTTTAAAAAGTTTGTTTTGGTTTTAAATGTATATCCAAGACAGCCATGGTTGTTTTTGCCACTGTTTATCCCTTTAATATCCCACAAAATTCAGAATGTCACAAATGTCATGCCTTGGCTGACAATAAAATTTCCATATGAATTCAAAAATAAATTGTACAGCTAAAGGCATCAACAATATAAAAATATAATTTTTGAAGATATATAATTAAAATTTTGTCAGAACATTGTGTGGAATGGAAACTACAGTACAATGCTAAAACCTTCATACACACATGTAGACCAGATATCCAGATGAAGGTATATACATAGCCCTAAAATGTTAGCTTTCTATAAAATTTCAGTGCAAATACAGTTACATTAATCCTTATGCATGGAGTCCATAATAAGTAGCAAATGTATCTGAAAATCAATGTCAAATTAACAGAAGATAGTATTTTCATTGATATTGAATGGTAGAATGTTTGGGATACATTAACTTTTTTGCCCTTAAGAATTATTTCTTTAGAAATTTCGATGTATAAATATTGTGGTTTATTTGCAAACCATATATGCATAACATTAAATTGCTGTCTATTCCTTCTTCCTTCTGTTAAGAGCAAGTTGACCTAAGATTTAACTTGCAATAGGGACCTAAATTATAGCTATTTATTTTTAAAATGATTCCATGACTCTTCTAGGCCTATGGAATAATGCACATGAGTTAGAATAAAGCATCTAAAGACAGGAACAAAGACTGCTCATTGAAAATATTCCTTTAAATGAGTCTTAGAATGGTTGATGTCTTTGAAAAGTAATTTTTAAATTTAGGACTAAACAGAACATCATTGTCCAATCCAGAAAAATATTTCATTTGAAAGTATCTTCCTAGAAAGATGAACGATTAATACTACCACTTAAAATTTGGATTTCTCATGGTTTTATAAACTAAAGGATCTTAATAACAATAGTTTTTAAAGATAGTCCCTCTGTCATTTGTTAGACAACATTCAAAAATATATCTGGAATGTTTCAGGTGTCTTAAGAAAAGACTTATGGGTTTGGGGATATAGCTCAGTAGCACAGCGCCTGCCTGGCAAGCGTAAGGTCCTGAGTTCAATCTCCACCCTTGGTACTAAAGAAAAAAAAAGAAAAGACTTACTATGATGCATCAGGACAACACATATGTTTCCTGTGGTCAAATATCATTCCCATTAATTAAGTAATATTAAAAATAATTAATAATTATTTGTATTTCTTCAAATTCCTGAACCTAGGCATGCACAAGTATTTTCAATAAATTGCCTTTTGTTTTTACTTCTGGAAAAATATTTATCTTTCTTAACAGAACCCCCTAATGACAGAAAAAATAAAAGAAAGACTCCCTTTGAATGACTTTATTTACACCTCTGCATTTGAGCATATTACAGATTATCAAAATTTTACATATTCTACAGAGCTAAGGTAAGATGTATATTGTGACTTTTATCATATTAATCTCATTTGCTACTATATGGAGCAAAATAGCTCTAGGTAAGGTAATTCACTCTCAGACCTCTGTGACAAGCATTGGAAGTTGAACAATGATTCTTGGATCTCCTAACACCATAGACAATGTGAATAGTTGACTAGGGGAAAAATCTTTTATAGTATATAATTCACAGCTCCAGGAGGAAGAATTGTTTTCTAGTTGTATTTTGCTGTATCCAATATCACTTTACTGAGCTTACATCCACAATTAATTTTAAGAACACAAAGAAAAAGAAACCAAACAACTCCTCTCCCATGCAATGGTAAATGTACCTATTTTTTAGAATGTGTTGCTTCGTTTTGGAGATTTGTAATCAGAAAACATTATATAGCAAATACACAGAAATAATACATCATAAATAGCACATTACTACATTTTGAAGCTAGAAAAATATGTCACACTATATTATTTGGGAATTATCTATTTATCAGAACATTTATAAGCCAAGACTTTATTGACAAATCAAATCAGGATTTTAAAATTTATGCTAGTGAAAAAATTTAGTTAGGGAGAGAAAGAAATGGGTTTGTCTAGTACTATTTTATTCTTTCCAACACAATATCATCAACTCTGTAAAAGGTTCATGGCTGACCACTTCAAAATGGCGGCAGAGGGTTGTTAAAAGAAAGTACTAAACTCAAAGCTAATAATTAGTTCGATTTTGCTTTACCAAACGATTCTTTTCTAACTTCCCTATTTAAAACAGTTTGCTTGTTCTAAAAACATTTTTTTGAGATCCCCTTAAAAAAACTCCCCTATATCTTAACCATGCAGTGAGCTCCCCCCCCACAGCTCAGCTTAGGTAAATCATTTTAACTTTGGAGCTATGTAACAAAGGGCTGGATAGGAGTGAGTAACACTTGCTGGAAACATGCTCTGACAATGCAGTGCAGTTTGTATCTGCTTACCCAGGAGGTAAATATGACAATCATATCACCCGTCACTCCACTCGGCCTGAGAAGTTTTCCTTTATTATTAATTAATATAGCCACAGCGGTAAAGAGAAAAATGCATGTGATGTCTCATAACCTCCCTGGGAAGCAATATTCTTCCAGAGCACAGCTACCATTAACCCTAAACTGGGATCAAGGTCCTTGACTTTGAACTGAAACCCACCCGCTTGAGGTTCAAGTGCAGGCATTGCCAGTTGACCCTGAACAAATCTCCTTCTGTTGCTAGTTTCTAATGGAATTGATTAGGTAATCAGATTCTTAAATGGTTAACCCTGGTCTGAATCTGTGGTTGGAATTTTATTAACACTATCTCTGAAATTGACAAGGTAGCATTTCAGATTACACATGGCAATATATTGCATGTTTAGTTATTTTTGAATACTGCCTGGGTTACCTGGCAAATTATAGGAAAATTATGCCAAATGCCATGTGAAGGGCAGTAGTTTTACATGATTACATTTTATTTATGCCACATGCTGGCTATAAACTACAGGCCACGTAGAAACAAAATAGGCACACAGAAGTCATGTTAAGGCCACTGTCATGAGGTCATTAATATTGATATAAGGAAACAATTTACAAATAAATGTACAGAGAGCTCTCTCTCCCAAGGCCATGTTTCCATTTATTTTTCTCATTGTGGTTTCTCACAGCAAAATGGAGCTCTTAGCACCTAGCTGTGCATCATAAGTTGCATGAGTAGATTTTGGGTGGTGGGAACCGAATCTAAGCCATAAGTACCGTGAGCAAGCGCTCCGGGACACAAACTACTTGGTATACTGAACCGTACTGTACTTTGTGATTCGACTTCGAGTCGTGCTAGGGGAGGCAGATCCCAGGGTCTGGGTAAAGTGATGGTCAGAGGAATTCCTCATGTGGCTAATAGTGGCTGTCCCCCCCACATTGCCACTCAGGCCCCCACCCCCACCCAGGCCACCCATCCCGATGCCACCACCACTTATGCCAGGCCCACTCAGGCCACTGCCACTGACACCCATGTTGGTGCCAACCAGGCCACTGCTGCCTACGCCACCACTTATCCCAGCTGCCCCACTAATTCCACCCATGCCAGCGCCAGAAACAACCCTCTCTGTCACAATCACATTGTGGGCATTGGATAAGTCTGGGTGCCTACCTAGACTGCCTATCATGCCAGAGGTTGGCTGGATTACTCTTTCTGTAACAACCACATTTGAAGACTCTATGGGAGTAGGGATAGTCAGAGTGGTGGGTAGACTTGAGCCTGGCGCTATGACCCTCTCTGTCACTATAACATTGGAGCCATCTCTCAGGTCAGGCATCTCTAACATTCCATGAAAATCAGCGCCCGAGATTGGGCCCACCACCCTCTCCGTCACCACCACATTGGGCGCATGCAGGTTATCATGAAGGTGGACAGCAGGCTTCAGAGAGCCAGAGGTGGTGTAGGACTCGGTTACAGTGACATTGCCATAGCCCAGAGGGTCGGGAATAGGCATGGGATGATGTACACCAGGTCCCGAGGGGTAGGTACTCTCAGAAATGACGGTGGTGGTGCCAACCTGCTGGGAGACTGATGCGAGTCCGCTAGGAATGGGCCCTGTTGTCTGCGGAGGGTAGATTGGCTCAGTGTTCCGAGGAGGCCATGAGGGATCAGGGTCTGGATAGCATTCGGTTTCTTTTCCCAGGCTGATATCTGCCAGCTTCTTAAATTTGGGCCCCAGGGTATCCAAAAAGCTTTCATCCAAGTCTTCACCAATGAAGCTGCAACAACCCACAGAGCCAGCGGGGGAGCCTGCACCTTCAATGTCATACACGAGCAAGCAGTCATTGGATGGGCGCCCTTCTTCCTCATCGGCATAAGCGTATGCTTTCTGAGTTTGTAGGGGAAACAGAAAATGGAAATATGAATACACGCTTAAAGATAACACAACCGTTGTTATCATCATATTTACTTTTGGAGCATTACCAAAGAAGAATATATGAAATGAAATTCTAATATCTACAAGAAATGCTTTGTGAAGAATTTTATAATTTCTTGAAAGAATTTTATTAGAAGTCACTTTAATTGTAAATCTAATAATACATTTTGAGTTTTAAAGTGTACTTAGGCCAGGTGTGGTGGCACATGCCTATAATCCCAGCACTCAGGAGGCTGAGGCAGGAGGATCACTGTGAGTTCAAGGCCAGATTGGGCTACAAAGTGAACTGCAGAGTGAGACCTTGTCTTAAAAAGACAAAAAAAGGACTTTTAAAACCTTTTAAAAAGACTTTTAAAAAAATAGTGCACTTTGAACATAAAATCATATACAAAAAATTAACAAGTTGGAAGGAGGTATGTAAAAATATGTACATGCAAAAAAGTGAGGAAGCACACAAAAATATATAAAAAAGTTACAAGAAAGTACCACAAATGTGTGTTATTTTCAGTCTGAAAGTGTAGTTCAGAGATTATAAATTCATTCAGCGTTGTATTTTCTTTTCTTTAGATGGCGTGAATGTGACGGTTCCAGGAAGGTTTATTTTAGTGTGACTTCTCCCGCACAGAAGGAAAAATTGACTTTGCGTCTATGCCATTTTGGGATTCAAAGTTGAAGGAGATTACACAATTAAAAATATAGAATTGTATTCTGAAAACCCACAGATGTGCACTTTTACGTTGTCTTTGCAGCTCATGGTACTGCACTGCAAACTTTCAGGCTGTCAGAAACATTGTATAGTAAGCCAGTTTATTATGCCATCTAATTAAAAATACTTCTTCAGTCCTTGGTACTGGGCAGATATTCTGTTAGGAATGAGGCTATGCAGTAAAGAACAAAAGCAGATAAAATCATTCCCTCCTAGGACTTACGTTTTAGCTGGGCAAGACAGAGAGCACAAATGTTTACATCGGGAACGGTAGACACAGAGAAAAGGAAGAGAAGGGGATGGAAGCTGATCTTTCAGACAGGCAGGCGAAGGGGAGCATCTTTGATAACATGATGTTTGATTGGAGATAGCAATGACGTGACAGAGGGATGTGAGTGTTCTGGCCAGTCTGAGGTAAGTACAAAAGCTTCCAGGCCGAATTCTACTTCTCGGGGACACTATATTTGTAGGTAGGGACGTGACTAGGAAGTGTTCCTATGTATTTCAGAAACGGGTCTCCTTGTTTTGTATTATTATTTGAAAGATTTTGACCAATATTTTATTTAAAAATATCAGTCACCTGCTGAAATGTCCAATGTGTGGCTGACAATTTTTTGCCCTCTTTTTTTGAATGAAGAGGAATTGCCTTAGACTACATATAAATATATAATATGGTTGACATATATAAACAAAACTTGCCTTTTTAAAAATATTTTTTCTTTTGACATTAAAAAGAAAGGCAAAAAAGGTGTGCTGTGCTTTGGATACATCTGGCGGGGAAGTAACTGAAGTATTTTGGGCCAGAACACAGAGGGATGGAAACGCATTTCCCATCAGCATCAGGGATGGGAACTGGCTGAAAGTTGAGAACTACGCGGTTTGTAGCCACGAGTGACTGGGTCTCTACCTGGGAACAGCAAAGTTAATTTTTCCACTGCCTCTCTAGGCTTCACACTCTGTGTCACCTGCAGGTTGTTCTAGAATGTTCTGGAAGTGTCCTACGAATGTTTTCTATGTGCCTGCTGCTGACCTGGGTACTGGTTAGATAACATACAGAATAAATGGGCAAGACACTAAAAATAATGGTAAACATACAAACTAACAGATTCTAGCAGTGATAAGTTTCATCAAATGAATATAGAAAGTGTTCCAAAAAGACAGACAGGAAACAGGATGAGAGAGTTGATTGTAAAAACTGCAGAGAGGCGGAGATGTTTGAATAGGGTCTTGGGAAAGAGGTGGGAGTTTGTGAGAGAGAAGATGGGACAGAATGCGTTTGAGGAGCTCTCAGCATAAGCAAAGTGTGGAGGCGAACAGTCTGCTGTAAATAAGGCAAAAGAGCTCAGCAAGCAGGGTGGATGGGAAGGAGTGACGAGATGGGTGGGAGGGGACAGTTTGTGAATAAATTTCACTGCCATGTTGAGGACTTTGGACTTCATGTTATGGACAAAATGGCTCTGGGAGCCATTGACCATCTTTTAAATGGGAGAGTAAGGGGCTTAGGTCAGAGCTTTAGAAATACTGTTCAGCAGCAATACAGACCATTGGGCGCAAAGGCTGGAGGCTGGGAATTGGAGGTTCCTGACAAAGCCCCAGATGGGAATTATGAAAAGCCAGATGGTCGGACGCCTTACCTGACAGAAATAGTTTTCCATGAAATTCATGTTCAGACCTCCTTCTCTACATTCCCTCATAGAGTTTCTTCTTAATGTTCCAGAATATTCTTGGCATATCTCAGGTGCGGCTGATGTTTTAACTCCTTCCATTAGTTCAAATCCTGTTGTTCTTTCTCCTCCTCCCAGATCTTGCATTTCTCTGGCACAATAGTCGTTTGTGTAAACACCTAAAAGTGTTTGATAACATTAAATTTATTTTCTCTAGTGTATTATGAACTAAAAACTCACAACTTACGATAATGCAGAGTTTCCTCATTCAGGAACACATTTCTGAGCAAAGAAATGAAATGAAGATGACACATAAAGAAGAAAGAGAAAACTCCAACTGACACTGAGTTTGAAATAATTATGAATCAATTTGTTAGCTTGGTCATTTTCTGCAAGAGGCTGCCATGTTGTGTGCTGGAAGCGGGTGCTGCAGAGAAGTCAAAAAACTTTCGTTCTAAAGAGCTTGATTTCAAATTGAGGGAAGTTGTGGGGTAAAATACAAAAAGGTGAATGAGTAGCCTAAGATAAACCCAAATGTGTTGTTGGACCCACAGGGAGTCCAGAAGGTATAAGAATTACTGGCTTTCGGAGAGGAGGTTTTCCATGGAGAGTCTTAGCTTTGCACTTGCATGTGAGGGTGAGTGGAAGGTTGTCACAGTGTTCGAAGAAAATGGGTAAGATGGCAGCTGGGCGTATGAATGAGCTGCAGAAGGGAGGACATTCACTTTAGGACAGGTGTCCCATGGCTTTAGTGCTCTAAAAATCTCGAGTTTGGGGACAGTGTATCTTTTATACTTCAATGACTCTGGTGTGTTCTATGTGGCTTTGCTCAAGATCTGTGCAAAGGTTTGTGGACTTCAAGAATATCCTAAGGAATTCTATGATTGCACAAGCCTTGAGTCACTGATTGGGCACCAATGAAAAGAGAGGATCTCTCAGTGGTTTCTGTCTTTGAGGTGAGGAGATACCGGCCTCATTTACAAAAATGGATGGAGCATGAGCAGAAATAGTGTAAAGACCAGCGTTTCCAGTTCTTTGAATAAAATTTTGGTTCTACAAACTATAAACATTTCTATGCCTATTATATTCTACAGTACTCAAAGTAGAGAAGTGATAATTATAAGTTTGGAAATGACTAAGAATAGGAAAGTGGTCCAAGAGGGGAAAGGTGAAGGGTGAAGAGGAGGAGAAGGGGAAATAAGTAGAATAAAGATGTGCCCTGTACAGGACCCTAATAACCTCAGTGAATGTAAAGATTATAGGTCATAGCGTGAACTAAAATGCGTAATATCCACAAGAATGAAAGCTGCGATAGGAGAATTAGGGGAGGAGGGAGGGACGTGGGAGGAAGGGGATTATAAAAAGACAAAAAAGCTATAGTATGTGCATGTGCCCACTCCCCAAGATGATTATAAACTGCATCCACTGCAAACATGTACTAATGAACCAAAAAAGTTCAAAACAAAGAAAAAGACTAAGGAAAATGAGAAAGTAACATCTGCCTTGCAAAAGGTAATAGAGTCTAACTATTTTCATGGACTTGAGAATTTAATTGTTCTTTTCATTATGGTGGTAGTTATCCACTTACTGTGAGATTCTAATAGTTCGCTAGCTTCTGTCCATTACTCCGTCTTGACTCTGATTTTGAGGCAAGTTGTATTTAGAGTCGGACTCCTGTGTAAGCAGAACCTTACGGATTCCACAGAATCCACTATGTAGATTTTGATATTTCCTCTATTGACTTTCAATTTAAGAAACTGGACAAAACTTTTTGAGGTCAACATTTACACTGATTCTGAGAATTGATGCAGCAGGGCATGGTAGCACACTCCTGTAATCCCAGAACTTGAGAGGCTGAGGCAGGAGGATTGCTGAGAGGTCAAGGCCAGCTTGGACTACACAGTGAGTTCAAAGGTAGCCTGAACTACATAGTGAGACTCTGTCTCAAAAAAACCAACTAACAAACAAAACAAAAGAAAAGAATTGATGGAGTTTTTTCTCTGTCACAATAAGTAGCTAAATTTTGAATCACTAAATTGTGGAAGGAGATTGTAGCCTCAGTATATGAGCACAGATCTATTTTAATTGGTGGCATGATAATTTTAATCAGTCATATATGTATTTGGGTAAAAGAAATTTTCTGTCAGATAAAAAACCTTGCCAAAATTGACTCACAGTTATAATTCAGTACTTCTATTTATAGAGGTCTTAATAATGTCATCTACTTACTTTCTGATGATTGAGGAAGATTTAGAAAGTATAGCACATAAGAATAATAGAGCAGGTTTTCTTTAATGTAGAAATTAGTCACCGAAAAGGGAATTATAGAAACACTTTCAAAGACAAATAAAGTCATAAAAAACCCCTAAGATATCCTCAGAGAGAGCAAAGTTTCTTCATGATCTGGGCTGTTAAAATGTTTTTCTCACCCGAGTTGTCAATACATTCCATCATGGTCGCACCCCCGGGTGGTATCTGCGGTACGCAGATAGTGGCCATATCCTAAAAAACACGAAGAAACATTCTCCCATTTATAATGAGTCTTTCTTTCCAGTCATACATTTGCCAAATTACTGCAGATTTCCTAAACGCGTACTACTTTGGACACTTTTGAGGTCTGTTTAAAACTTGAATCTCACTCAGAAAGCCCCTCTAGTTATTCCATCTAATTCTAGTGTGCTTTTTGTTCCCCTCCCTGCCCCTCTTAGCTATTCCAGGGCAAACAGTGCAGACTGAGCGACTGTGGCATCCTGGCGCATCTGTGCGGACTGAGTTAGGTGATTACAAATTCTCCATCTTTCAGCTCAGCACTTACGTGGGGTTCGGGCTGTGGTCCTTCTACGGCCCATGGGTGAATCGCTCCATCAGAGCACTCAGGAACAGGCTCAAAGCCAGCACTGCCCCCAGCGGGACCTCCATAGTCACAACAGATCATCAGAAACGGGACCACTGGCAGTGGAAAGACGGGAATACTGGCGTTAATGGAGGACCATGTTACAACCATCCGCTTTTACTAATGGCTACAGTTGAACTCTTAATAGAACTGCGCTTGATTTTAAAAATTTCAGAGAACACACTAAAATTGTCAGACACCAAAATTGAGGCAAGCTTTAATATAGTAATCAATTTAATTTTTTATAGTATTAAAATTCCCTGTAGTATTATACTATTGCAGTAGATAAATCTTTCCCCTGTCATTACTCAGAAAAGTAGTAAAGGAGAGAAAAAAAAAGCTGGAGAAGCCAGGCAAGATGTTTGATCCTTCTGTTTTCTCCTTCATGCCTTTCCTTATTTCTAGGCTTTCATGCATGCCTGCCTTTATTTTAATGGTAAAATCCTATTTGTTCCTTGAGCAGCTGTTCTTGTTGAGGCTGATACTGTCCCCTACACAGACACCTTTTCCTTAAGTTATTCTCACATGAATAGAAAATATCACACAATCAGAGTTTTTTCATGCATCTATTTAAATATCCATTGTATTTATCCTTTTAATATTTTATTTAAATCATTCTTTTTATATAATATAATCTTGACAAATGGTTTTGAATCCATAAATGGGTGAAAGGAAGAATACGCAAACAAACATGTGAGGAGAGAAGGAAGAAGAAAGGAAGGAGATGGCTTACAAGAAAGAAAATAGAGAAATCAAGGGAAGAGGGAGAGGAGAAAAAAGGAGCAGGACCGGTCATCTTTTGCATTTTTGAAAATCTGCTAGACTAAAAGAAAGCTTTAAATTTAGCAGTATTGACTGTAAAGCCCACATGTAATTTTAAAATGTTTTATTAAATATACTACTCAAAGTTGGTCACTAACATAAAGACAAACTCAAAGTTAAAGTTAAGGATTATTTATAAGTATAATGATCAGTACCTGGGTATTTAAATAAAATAATAAATTTTAGTTTTGTAATGTTGGTTGGTGATCAACACAACTAAGCCATTAGAGAATTCTATCTTTTTTTTCACGTACATTTAGGTTACATTCCATCCATTTTCTGGACTTTTAAAATTTTTCTTGCCTTTGTTCATTTTCATGAGACTATTTTTGTTTTAAACTTGTTCCTCTTTTTGTAGAACTTTTCCTGGTCATTATTTAAATTTTTTTTGTATGTCAATAAGAACTCCTATTACTTAATATGGGAATTTCATTTTCAAAGTGTATTTTAAAGGGAACCAGCCCCAGCTGGTAGCAGCGTATCAGAATCTGTGCTTTAGATGGATTAATACTGATTAAAATGCTCAGGACGGTGAGCTACTTAGCCAGAGAAAATACGTTTTTCAATAAATTTAATTTCAATAAATTTAGCAACGTGCCTATTTATAGCTGTTTATGTATTAAAAGGAGTGAAAGTAAGAAACAAAGTGCTCTGAATTCACATTTAATGTGTTTTAATTAGAAATGTGAGGAATCTTCCAACACCAAGATGTTCTGAAACTGTTATGCAATGTTTGCAGCCCTGTTTCTACGTAGTGACGTCAGAGCCCCCTTGCTCGTTCCTCAGACTCTGGCATGCGGCTCATCTCCAACTTCGTTTCCATTATCACCCAAGTCAGTGTGAGAGGCTGCCGGGAGAACCCACTGCGTTCTACTCCCAGGGTCTACCCCTGGGTCCTGGACTCACGCTAGTCTAGTGGTCCTAGGATGTGCTCAATGCGTTATGTCTAGTACTTTCTCCCCATCATCACGGCAACGTTGTGAGATATAAATAGTATTATGTCATGGATGACAAAAACAAGACTCAAAAAGGTTTTCAAACAATGGAATCTTTAGAAACAGATTTCAACCCTGGGTCTGTTTGGTGCTCCCTGCTGTTGAACTTACAGCTTTAGCAAAACACCAGATCCCTTCAATAGTTAGCCTTTGTGTGTCCTTCTTTTTTCAACTGTCACCCACTGCACACTCAAGCATGCTGTTTCTGCTCTTCACACGGGAGGCCTTCATTTCCGTACCTTGCTTTCCCGTGTGTTGGGGCTTTCCCACAGATTGTTCTTCTCTATCATGTGTTCCCTTTCTCTTGACTGCCAGTCGCTTCCTCATGTGTTAAAACTCAGCTTGGAGTTTATTTTCTTTAGGTAGCCTTTTCTGACTGCTTCAGTAAGTTGCCTCTGATTGTCTTCATTCACACTGCAATCTGAGCTCGCTTCCCATGGCACTTTCCTCCTACACTGAGATACACTCAAGTTTGTGCCCTGCGCTGTCCTAAAAGGGGTCAAGGGGCTCCATTTTTTCATTTTACCACCCTAGCACCAAGTGTAGAAGTTTCTTCATAACTACTCAAACTAAGAACTTGTAAAATATATTTTGTCAAAGGATCAGAAAACTTACTTCCTCCGTATGTAAATAGCATTGTGAAAATACTTACGTCCTAGGACTAGGAATCCCATGATGAGTAGTCCAATCCCAGCAGGACCAAAGTGCACGTTATCTGCTGAACTTTCTTTTTCTACTCCTCCGCCTCCTGCGCCTCCTCCTCCTTGTTGTGTATTTTGGGTATTACCACCCTCACCATAGTCAGTTCCTCCAGAGTTGTCATTTTCATTAGTGGAAACACCTTCACCTGTGGTACTAGTAGTATCTCCAGCATCACTTTCATCAGTACGGGGAATGGTACCAGTACTGGTATCTGTGCTAGTGCTTGTACCACCTTGGTTTTCTGTCTCAGTTCCACCACCTTCTGCTGTTGACCAGCCAGAACCTTCAAGGTCAATAACAATTGTGCCAGTGCAAGTTCTATGGAGAGAATCTGTAACAAGTTTCAAAATGGAGAGTATTTTATACACTTAATGTAATAATTGCTGAATAATACAGAACTATTTTCATGTTGCATCAATACTTATTTCCATGTCTTTATTCCATTCATTCAGTAGCTTCTCAAATTATCCTTTGTCTGTGACTCAGCTTTTTAAATCAATCATTATGTTGTTATAACTAACCTTATCATTATTGTTAGGGAAATATTTATTGGATTATTTCTTTACATTTTAAGCAATTGGACAGTACGTATAATTTGAAAAGTATAAGAAGGAGCAAACTAAAACCATATAATAAGCCCATTATAGCCAAGGACAACCAAGGACACCTGTTGAATTGGAGGGGATAATCTTTTGTCCTTAATTATAATTTTTAAGAACTGTTTATTATTTATGTTATGTTGATATGACTACATGGCTCATTTTATATTTTTTTCACTTTAGAATGCATTCTTTCATGCTTGAATACACTTTTAGTTAGTATAATTTCTGATGGCTACATAATTTTATATCAAGGAGGCCATGGTGCAACAGCAAACAGAAACATCAGAATGACACCCAGGATTTGGAGGCAGACTTATTTACATCGATGAGCACTGATCGGGATGCGCAAAATATCAGGCCTTGACCTCTGGTGGTCTAGGGCTTATATTGGATAAGCAAGCAGGAAGTACATAGGCAGAATGGCTTGTCAGTTGGGGATTGGTTCATACAATGTGCATCATAGTGACTGGCTATGCATCACAGTGACCAGCTGTTTCTAAGGGACAGAAACAACCTGAACTGGAACAGGAACTATTACCTGGGCAACTAAGAAACTGAGGTATGCTGGCTGGGGAGGGTAGGGGGCAGACATTTTCTGCTGCAATGGTGTCCCCTTCCAGTTACTTACTGGAATTGCTGGCAACATTTAATTATTAAAGACAGTGCTGTAGTTAGCATCATTGTGCACTAAGCCGTTTATACTTAAGATGCTTCTTAAGATTATTCAAAGTGCATTTATTGAGTATACATATAGGAGTAGCTTGTTTAAGGTTATTTTGGTTGATGCTGCTACACAGATGTAAGTTCAGTTGCCTAACTTTGCATTAATATAACACTAGAACTTGGTGCAATGACTAATATTTTACTAAGAGTCTAGACTTTCTGAATACATAAAAGTATCTCTAAAAGCATATAACAATGGTAGCTTTGAACCCAATATATAAGATATAAAGTCTCATGACCGTTCAGTCTTATTATTCTTATTTTTTTTTTATTATTACCATCACTTCCTTCTATATAGATTAGTTCAATAACTTTTCTGAGACTCTACAATACTAAATGATGGTACAAGATACCAATGCAGTCTCATTTAAGAGATAATGGTTTTAGCCACTAAATTATGTCTAATAGTATTAAAGATTTGGATTTATAATTCCCAATATGATTAATTTTATAGGAAAAATGTTTCTTTAAGATGCAATTATGAAAATTTTAATGTATAAGTACATTTTTATGGCATTTCATCTACAAGAAAAAGAAGTTAAATTGATGTCTTACCATCTATAGATAAAAGTGTCCCTTCGTATCTTCCCCTAAGCATTTTATACTGTTCCATGGTAACTTGTTTTCTCAAAGTGAGAGTGCCTGTTTTTGAGTCAACAGCTAGCAGGTCAGCTGGATTATTTCCCATTACATATCTGTATTTAAAAGAAAACAGTGCAAATTAACATCAACTATCTAAAAAAAGACTTCTGAAATATAAAATATATTTCTCTAGTTGGTAGATATAAGCCCTAGACATATTTTTTAATTATTACAGGATTTCATTTTTTTGAAGACAGTACCAGTTATATGCATCCATTCAGAAGGAGACAGAAGATTTAATGTAAAATTAAAGAATTACTGAGCAACCATTTCGACGGAATACCTTTTTATGCCCACTTGGATAGCACAGCACTCCTTTTATGTTTCCCTCTCATTTCGGTTTTGTGGTAGCAAAACTGTCCCAGAAGATCTACACCCTGGGCTTTCCTGGGCTGGGCCTAATCTACACTGTTCTCTCACAACAGTGAGGAAAACAACAGCGATTACTCTGCCTTCCTCACCATGGCCCGCATTCCCTTCCTGTATCTGCTGCTCCTCTCCACATGCACGGTGACTTTCCAAGGCTCTGCTTGAATTCCAGACTATGTCCTTACCTTGTGTGTTTACCGTCTTTTCCTTCTCTCCTCATCTTTGGCCTTGCTATTTCCCTTTTCCTTTACATACTTGTGAAGCAAACACTGGTAGATAACTGTCTGTCTCAGGCACTGTGCTAAGCCCAGGGAACAGAACTTTGAGAAGAGCTGGGGTGAAGGTGAGGCTACCCTCAGTGAGCTCATTGCTGTCAGGTACAGGAAGGCCCATTAACAGTGGTGATCCAGTGTGATACCAGTGAGGGCAAAAATACTCGCATTGGGCAAAGAGACTATGGAGAAAAAACTTCCAACACTGGTGATCCCATTGGTGAGATCTTTTTCCTGTTGTTTGTGATCACAGTCACAGCTGCAAATAAATGCGCACACGTGTGTGCACGTGGACACACAATTTTATGTGAAAGACATATAAAATTTAAAAAATGGCATAGCCTCTTTTTTCCTTAATATAACTAGTTTCTCAACCTAAAATTACGGATCAATATTTGGTGTCCATTAAAATGGAGAAAATAACCAAGGTGAGCTAACTAAATCCAGTCAATTTCAAGCTAAGCAATTTTGCACTGGGAAAATCAGTCCTATAAAATCTTCTCTGGCTGAGAGGGCCATAAGGCTCATAGGTACAAGAGGGGGAAGACTATAACATACAGTCACCAGCTAATTGACCAAGAAGATATATAAACAGAGTTGTGGCCAAACTTTTTAGATACAATTTTCATGTATTATATCTTCACAGTTTCACATATTACAACTTGTGTAAATTTTTATACTGTTTAAAAAAACGCTGTAAGTAACAATTCAGTAGTAGATGCTTTTTTGCAGATTGAATGATGGTTCCAAAAATAATGGAAAATGTTTTCATTCAGATATGTAATCTTCCTGAAAACAACATTTGTGTGTAAGTTCAACATGTGGTGAAAGTTGGAAACTATCGCTCTTACCTCACAGTTGTTGAAGCTGAACCTGTGTCCAGGTCAGTAGCTACAAAGTCTCCCACTTTATGATTTGCTCCCATGTTACTTGTTACCACATATGTCTTTGAACCTGGGCGAAACACTGCACCTTCAATTACATTTGACACAACCACGGAGATCGCGGTACCTACGACTTTATATTGAGACATAATCGAATGATGAAATTCAGCTTTATTTCTAACACCAATACTGAGTTGCACATTCTTCACAGCTTCATAATCTAGGGGCTGGAAAATACAGAGTGAAATCGTTTTACTATAAAAAAAATTTCCAGAAGAACGAGTCCCTTCAGAATAGTAACAATAATACGCTTTTTATAATTAAAGATAAATGCGTACAGATACCCAATTTATTACTTTCTTAATCTTCAGTTTAATGTAATACATGCAAATACAGTATAAGAAGAAAAATACCCAGTTGTATTTTATCCATAGTTGAAAAGTTTGAAGAAAATGTGTCACATGAACTTTAATTGCCCACCAAATTAAAAACTTAAAATAGCATAGATGGTCAAACTCATGAATTTTGTAGTGTGAAGATAATTTATGTTGGCACTTACATTTCATGTTTCTCAGAAAGTAGCTCTACTTATACCAAAATATAGGTCAACTATTTTTGAGGTCTGATCATTTGACTAATTTGATTTATAAAGAATTATTTAGAAGAAATTTTGCCTTTGTCATTATGACTTTTCAAATAAGTCAGGTAATAGAATGTTATTATACAGCTAGTATGAAGAAATCCTCATTTTCTTCAATATATTCTAGAAAAAACTCATTTTATATTATAAAATAATCAGGGAATGATTTTCATTATGAAAGGTGATATAAAAAATCATAACTAAGAAAAATCTACAAAACTATGCCATTATGCTGGTATGTACCAAATGTACTTTTCTGAATTTTCACATGAGAGTAATTTAGATACAAATAGAGATTTTACACATTGACCTCTCCTATTGAGCTAAAATTTTGAATCTGTGTTCTAGTTTTTAATTTCTTTATAATTTAAATACTAGTTATATCAGCATATACACATCTGCATCCCAAACATATCTCTTTATAGTTCTAACAAAGGATTGAATATATTATATTACGTCTGGGAGAATAATTATCATCCCACTTTACAGATAGAGACACTGAGAATGACTAGGTTAAATAATTTTCAAAATAATAGCATTGTGTGGGGTGAAATGGAGTAAGACCCAATTGCCCTAATAATGAAAGAGTGTGAATTCATAGCTAGGAAACCTAGATTTGAGGGGCGGTTGTTCCTCTTACTGGCTATGAGAACTTCAGTGATTTACATCTCCCCTTGAGCCTCAGTCTCTTTATTGTAATATGGGTATGAGATAGCCTAATGTTTAAGGATGCTGTGAGAGACCGACTAAGACATCTGTACACTCTTTGAAGTCAAAGGAAGCTACCAGCACGGTGACACTTCATGAAAATAAAGGAGACAAAAGACCACACATTCCTATGGGGACTATTCTGAAGGAAAGAACTAGTCAAAGAGGGATTACATTTCACTGTGAAGAACACATCTTATATGCATTCTGTATAGTCCATGGACAGCTACTTATATTTAAAATATTAAGTCTGTGAGTCTTAGGGTGAAACCTTTGCCATCTTTTTTGCTAGACGTTACCTATTTTTTCCTGCACATCTCAGATGTAATTCCTCTGTGGATCAATGTGGTGGATCATTAGAACTCAATCTCTAGATATTTTTCTACTAAGCCTTGGTCAGTAGCCATGGTGAAAAGTGAATGTGATGATTCAACCACTGTAGCAATTTAACTTTAATTATATACAAACATATTGGAGGAATAAACAACTTTCAGTTTACAAGACAAATATTCTTAGTGCATGAAATTGACATACAATGCTGACATACACATTTTAAAAATTTACTTTAAAATACACTTAAAACATTATCTCAAGGATTAATCCTAGCTTATTTTAAGCAGAAAATAAGATTTTTGTTTAAAATGTAAAATTTGGTATTATCTTTTGGAAGTATTGTACTGGTAAAAAGTTTGAAGTTCAAAAAAAAAACAAAGCTGGGGGTGGTGGCATACACCTGTAATCCCGGCATTCTAGGAGGCTAAGGTAGGAGGATTGTTGTGAGTTTGAGACCAGCCAGGGCTACAAAGTGAGCTCAAGGCCAGCCTGAAGTGCATAGCGAGACCCTGTCTCAAAAAGACAAAAAAGCTGGGCATGGGGGTGCATGTATCCCAGCACTTGGGAGGCTGAGGCAGGAGGATTGTTGCAAATTTGAGACCAGCCTGGGATACAAAGTGAGCTCAAAGCAAGCCCGAACTGCATAGTGAGACCCTGTCTCAAAAAAGACAAAAAAAAAAGTTTGAAGTTAAAGTTTACTACATGTTTTCCTGAAATGATATAAGCAGAACAATTTCATATGAAAAGCTTTAAGTCATATATAATTTTAAAACACAGTAATATTTATTCTCACTGATTGAAGTCAATAAAATGCTAATATCATTTTATTTTAAACTTAACATTTTGAAAAAAAGACCAAAACCAAAGCTACAGTATTTAAGATTATTATAGCATACCTGAACAACTTTAAGAATTCCTACATTTGTTCTTTCATTCATTTCTATCTCAAACCAATTTCCTTCATTTCCAGAAATGAAGAAAATTACTGCCATCCAGTTTGCTGTGTACTCTTCGTCCAAATCAATTACTCTGAGCTGGAGCAAGTCTGAATATAGAGCATTTTCTTCAATTTTGAGTTCATACTGAAACAAGCAGAAAAAAAAAGAGTGTGAGAGAAGAACTGTATTAGACTTGTACTGAAATGCTAACAGTTATTTATTATTTGATATCTGTGTTTGTAATCTCACTTTTCCTTGCTTAAATCCATTTTTTTCCTTTTAGGTAAGCAAAACCAAAAAAGGTGTTTCTGTATTTCAGTTTTGTGCCAGCAAGCATAAAAAGTACATCAGCAAAAGAAATGTTTGTATAAATCTTAAAGTGCGATAAACTTAAAGTTACTGAATTCAAAATTTCAAGAACAAGTACTTACTGAAGACTGCTCCAGGTAGGGGATGTTGTCATTGACATCCAGGATTTTAATGCTGCATTCGCACTCAGCCGACATGCCGTCTGCCCCACCGTCTCGGTCTGAGCCTTTTACAGCAAGAGAATACTGGCCATATTGCTAAAAAACACATTGTAAACGATATCATGCCTCACACAGACAACTTTACTCTGTCCTATGTAAAGTTCTTTTAAAATATGGGCTCAATATTCATACACATCTACGATAGAGACAGGGTAACACAGAGTCTTGCATATCCGTGCATCTCTTAGAATCAAAATGGAAGTTAGCTCTTGTGTTGCCAACAACATTTATCTGCATCGTCTAAAAGAAACAACATTTCTTCAAGGCCTCATTTCCTATGAATCATAACAGGTGCATAGGTTGGAAAAGTTTATAAAGTATGGAATGGATCAGAGTAGTCAAGGAGACATCGTTTTACCAAAGGCTTATGGCATGAAAATTCCATAGTTAATATAAGCCAGCCTCTGAGTGTGCAAGAAAAGTAGAGATGACAGCTGGTTGTACTTAGGGGTAGTGGAGAGTTGTGGCGATTGAGATATTGATGATGTGTCTGTATTTTATCTGTGCAATGGTGCTCACCTTTTAAAAAGCCGGCAAAAGCTTTGGAGCCTTTTCTAGACTTGTGCATAAGTGCATGCTCATTCAAAATTGTAAGTGTAAGTTTTGGACATTTATACTTAAAGACATCTTGAGATTGGTTTGTGGCCCCAGGGTTTCCAATAACAGCAGAGTTCCTTTACTTCTGACATTCTCCCTTTTTTGGAACCTTGGATATTAAAGGAATCTTACTGTTCTGCTTAAGAAAGTTTGAAAAAGTGAAATAGTCATTTTCCTCTAATAGAAACTCTCAAAGAAGTAAAAAAGGATGTTTAGCTAATTTAGAAACTGGTCACATTTGGACCGCTAAAATATTAAAAAAAAATAAGATTTATCTGAACCTATGAGTCATTAATAGGGAGCTTGTCATTTTTAAATGACTAGAATAATTAAAATAAAATTTTATTGAATATCAAAATAAAACATCCTCACTTATAACTCTAATGTGCATATAGGTTTTCTACCTTATATTTAAAGATATTTTCTTTCTTTAAAAAAAGAAAGACTAAGGACTTTACAATTAAGAAAGGGGACCCCATAATGTGATAGAAATGCTAATTATAATCTTTTAACAATCATTAGCTATCACTTGTAAATGAAATTTTGCTCCTGAAGTTATTTAGTTACTATCCATTTTTCTGATCCTGTGATTAATTTCCAAAAGTATGAGTAGTGGGTTGTCAACAAGAGTAATTTAAAAGGGAAACAAAAAGAATTTTGCTGTGAAAAAAACTGTAAATATTCTGTAAATATTCTTGGAGCCTCTACCATGTTCACATGGACTGTGATTCATCAAGACAGGGAAATAATAGCAAGTACTTCTATACTTATTTCTTTATAGAACACACCTTTAGAAAAATGGAATTCTGCCTTCTGCAGATTTTAATATGCTTTCACAATATAGATTTCTTAACTTAAAGCAAATCCAATTCAATTCATTAGTTAAAATGTAACTTAATCTGCATTTTCTCATTTAAAATATTTCTCTTCATTAACGTTTTGTGAAATGTTATATAATTAAAATTTTAAAACAGTCCCTTCAAGTAAATCAGTCCCTTCAAGTAAAGAACCATTGAAAGAAAAAAAATATTAACCTCTCTGTCTAGGAAATTATTCATTGTTCGAATTTCTCCAGTATTCCGGTTGATGATGAACATAGGTGCATCAGAAGGTTCCTGTCTTATGATCTTGAAGGCGATTTTTGAATTCAAGTTATTTGGTTCATCTGCATCGGTAGCATTGAGTTTCATCACCAGTGTATCTAAGAATAAAAAAAAACTTGCAAGTGAATAATTTATATTTCCGTGATATACACAATATAGCATACCACCTTTCCAACCTGGCGTGAAAGTGAGTTGGTGCATTTTACTATCTTCCCTTTTATTTCTTCAACATATGGATATCTTAGCTCTTTTTTTTAACCTTTGTTTTGATAAAAAAAAAGATCACATTTTACTAGGAGCCTAGACATTATTATAATCAGGAAGCAAAGGAAATATATTACTCTGGTTTCTATTCCTTTTTTTTTTTAATTTTAAAGATAAAAGAACAAACATACATTAACAAACAGACATAAACAAAACAACACCAAAACAATAGAAGCAATACAGAATTTCAGACAGAGTGATAGGAAATTAACAATGGTTGTTGTAGTACATATTGTTATTTTAAATTGGTTACTCAGATAAACAAATATAGACATGTAAGGTTGATCAAACAATTAAACATTAACTGTTCCTTTCAATAAAGCAATAGAAATCAGTAGTACAACTCTCTTAGCTAACCAGTGTATACATATTTTTTCCCTTCTTTTTTTGTTTTTTCTTTTCCCTCATCCCAGTTCTTTTCTTTTGAGCAGTTTCTTTCCCTTTCACAATGTCTAATGTACCTTTCAGATTTTATTTACTCTTTCAGGTTCTTACACTAGTGAGACAAAACGCTGTTTACACATGCAGGTCTGATTTATTTTGCTTATGAGTATGGTCTCTAGTTGTGTCCATTTACTTATGAAAGCCTCGAGTTTACCTTTCTTTATAACCGAGTAATATTCCACTATGTAAAAATTTTGTATAGGTTGTGCTGTTTTGTTTTTGAGGATACTTATGATAAAGTGTAATGATATTAAGGCCAGATCAATTTTTTTCCTGGATTTAATACTTTTTAGATGTATGATCTTGTGTTCAGCTTTCACATCTCTAATTGGGAGTGATAATAGTACCATCTTTATTAAGTTAATACAATAATTAAATAGTTAATAAGAGAAGCATATACAAAGGTTCTAGTGAGTAATGGACTTTTAATAAATATATATCATTGTTTTGCTTCAGGTGGTCCTTATTTAAGTGTTGAGTAATTAGCAAATTTAAAGAAATGTTTGTTGAGACCATGCACACTATCCTGTCCTTTATTTTTTCAATTAATCTTATAAATGGTTTGATGAAGGATCCTGGAGAACAAGAGAAGTTGCCAGTATTCATTGATAAACTAGAATTCTTTTCTACCCTCCAAAATGCTTTAAGTACAAATTTGCTACAAGTATACTAGGGCATATTATCTCCTTCTCGTGGGCTTTCTCCTTCTTTTCTTTCCTCTTCTTCCCTTTCCTTCTTAGCAGGACTACAGGTTAAAACAATCTATGATATATTTCAAAATAACTAGAACAGATGAGTAGGGAAGATTAGTATGGTTAGTGGTTAATGAGGTGAATGCACTTATTCTGACTGACCGCATATTATGCACATGCACTGAATTGCCATGAGGTACTTCCTAAAGATGTACAAATATTGTCTCTCAATTAGAAAGTTAACTGAAAGCTGCACGGTCAGAGGTGGGTGGGATTGGCCTTCAACACCAGCAAGGCTGGACGGCTAAATTCTCAACTCATGCCCCTGTCACTACCTTGCAAAGTGCAAAAGTGTGTGAGTCACACGAGTCACTCATCACCCTTGTTTCTTTTGCTCATGTGTATGACAGACTGGAGTTGCTTCCATCATTGAAGGGACAGCCTTTCTGATTGCAATGCTTTCCTACAGCATGTCCTTTAACACTCAGTGTTTACGTTGACACAATTTAGTCTGTATTTGCCTGGCTGTTAAGAATGATCTTGAGGCCAATATATCCTTGTTTACCTAGTGGAAAAGATTACTTACTTGCATTGGAATTTTCTTCTATTTGTCCTATAAATGTAGACATGGAAAACACTGGAGGGTTGTCATTTATGTCCAAAACCCTGACTCTGAGCTCCAGAGGCCTCTCTAAATCTTGACCGAGTGAATTCAGAGCCCGGCAAACAATCTAGGAGACAAAAGAACGATTATATGGTGAAACACATATTTATTAAGTTCTACTTTTGGGGAATATTTTGCTAGGAGGGAAATTAAAAGAGAAATAATACACATTATTATTTCCTATTGAACACAGGTACAAATAATACATACAATCAATAAGAGAGGACAAATATGGACACAAAATGATTTTTTAAATAGGCAACATGGTAAGCTGTAGTAGGAAGGACTCTAACTATATAGAATACAATGACTGAAATAAACCTTGAAAGAGAATTTCAACAGATGCACGTGGGAACTGGCATGTGTTCCACACTAAGGGATTCTTATCAGGGAAGAAATGGAACGCTGGAAATGCTGTGTTGGAAAATAGGAATAAGGCAGGAGTAGTGAGACTGTGAAAAGGAGGGTCCCACAGGAACTTCAAAGAAATGCAGCATTCTTAAACTACTGGTGCCTATGTGGGTGTTTTTTTTGTCATTATTTGAAGTGTGCCTAAGTATCACGTACATTATTTCACATGTAGCGCATATTTTGTATAAAAAACACCATGCTTTAAGAAAAGTTGATAGATTGGCAGGCTGATTAGGAGAGATTGTGGAGAATCAGCATGGAATAAAAGGTAGAACTGTAGATAAATTAAAAGTAATTAAAGGCTAGGGAATCAAAGTAGTCCTAGGAATGAGAAGTAGGAGCAAGAGCAGCAAATGCATCTTACTATGTGAAGGTGTTTTGGGGTACGGGTGGTTTGGGTTTTAATAGAAGAGATTACAAGATCAAAGAAGGGATTTTTATTCCTTTTTTCTTTTAAGTATTAAGAAGTGTTGGCTGCCATGATGGGTGGAAATGGAAGCAGTCAGTGGGGTAAGCAGAAGAGAGATGATAGAACAAAGTTGATGGAATAAACAAGTAAGGGGCAACAGGAATTGAGATAAACTGTGGGGATTGGTAAAAAACTGAATGTGCTTCTGGACTGAGTGAATAGCACTTCTGGAAGAGAGAGTATTATGGGAATTTGTGATAGATGACCTCAGCCTTTCTAATGAAGTGTCAAGGTCAGTTGCGTAAACTTGAATGAGTGGAGGGCTGGAAGGCAAAGAGTCTTCAAGCTGTGTGACAGTTCCTGTGAGGAACAGAGGGAGACCCAGGGAAGAACGGCTGCATTTCCAAAGCTCATTTAGAGCTCAGCTGAGCTCAAGCCAAGCAAAGTTAGAATCACGTGTGTTCACTCAGAAGAGAATCCTTCCGTAGCTTCAGAATCATTGCTAGGGATTGGCGTTCAAAGAAACCAACATTTTCAGCTGAAAAAAAATTAAAAATATATTACGAGTTGGCTACTTGTCTTTCCAAACAAATGTGCTGGCTTCTGTGAGGGCTGCCTGGAGGCTGCCATTTTTGCTAACACCTCAGAAAAAATATTCCCCTTTCTCTTAATTTTCTTTGTATCTGTTGGCTCCTAAACTGAGACAATCAAAAATGTCTGATATTGTGACTCTTGAAAGCAATCAAGCATGATATGCATTTAAGGTTTTTCCAAAAACATATATGATGACATGAAACCTACTTACAATGAAATAAGGAGTGACCTCTCGATCAACTATAGATGTTATATTAATTTCACCAGTTTTTTGATTAATAATAAAGATTCCATACGGTGGCTGATCAATTCCTACTCCAGAGATGCGATATGTAACTTGTTGGTTTGCAGCACAATCTGAATGAATCTGCAGATAGGACACAGTGGAAATATTACAGAGCAGAAATAAACAATCACATGCTATATATAATATCTTCCTTGGGAATTATTCAACGTGCTGACCTTATTATTTGGGAAACATTGAAAACAAAGCATTATTTTGTTAGACGTATAGTAGCTATTGCATTTTTCAACAACAACTGCATAAAAAGTGCAGTATTTTTAGTGGTAACTGGCAATGTAATAAAATAAATTTAATTTTTATTTCTCCCAAACAATAAAAATTTAAGCCATCATCCTAACAAATCTAAGTGTATGCAGTCACCGTGCATTCAACATTTATAATTTGATTTTTTGTTCACACACTCATTTAATGAGATACTGTTTAAGGACTGTTTGGAGTCATGCTGATTGTACTTACAGCCCATCTTTGCATTTTGTACAGTTCTGTATATCTTCTGTACAGAGCCTCAGAGTCACTTTTGTACAGTAAACCTTACATAGTACTGTAATTTTGCTGACTGTACTGTATAGTGCTATAGCTTTTTGTTCTGTTATACATTACAGTACTGTACGTGAGTTATGAAAATGAAAGCAAAGTCATCAAATTGGACTTTCTTTTCACTTTTTTTGTTCTGAGTTTTGTAATGTACATACTGTGCACAATTCCTTATTTAGCAACCAATTCATTTAATGACTGGGTCGCAGGAATGGAGCTTGTTCGATCTTCAGATTCAAAACTTTAAAAAGTATAAAGTGTTACCACAAAGTTTTAAGTGGATTTATATATGTAACAAGAGTTATTTGACTATGTAGAAGCTTTTAATTCTGAAAATTGGGATGATGCATTAGCAGAAAAGGAAAGAGTTCAGCTCACTTTTCTTGAAATAAAACATTATATGCCTAAGCAAATCTTACTTGGGAGTCTCTGTGTATATCTATGTGAATCTTTGTGCTCATAACAATATATGTATCTGTGTGTGTGTGTGTGTGTGTGCATGTGTGTGTTTCTGTAGGGGAAGGTAGGAAAAATAAAAGTAAAAAGACAGTATGAAAGAGGCACATGGTGAATCCTACGTAAGCACAAAAGTAACAGCTCAATCTTGAGAGACTGCAGAGCGGAAATGGCACACCTTGAGATTTCTCTGTGTATGCTGAATGCTAAATTCATGCTTTAATTCGTTGCTCTTTATTTGTTTGTTTATTTTTCATTTAAAATTCAGGGTGAAATATGTTCACGCGTTTTAGATTTTCCAGGGAGGTGAGTTGATTTTGAACTATTTATCTGGACATATAATTTTTAAAATGTATCTTTTTAGGAACTTCAGTTTTTGTAACTTAAATCATTACAGCACGAAATCACAACTTCTCAATGAGATAGGCTCGCAAGTTATTTCAAAGACTGGTTCTTTGGAAAGTTCAGCTCATCTAGTTTATTTTTCACATCTATGGCTTGGGGCTGGCACTTACTTTAGCAATTGGGTTTCTCTTTGAGTTGTCCTCGCCTTCACGACAGGCTGCAGCGAACTTGATCCATTCCCGTTTCTGTCTTCTGATTGAATGCCACTTAATGGTGCCGTTCTTAGTGTTATAATCTCTTACCTTGATAGGAAGGATAAAGTCATGATATGTATTAATTTTATTTATAATTTATATTGCACTGGATGTTTTGGAGATGGAATAATGATATCAGAAAGAGATGTTCTTTCACTGGGAAAATTGATAATTTTGATTGTCTTTTAACTTCAGCATTACATTAACTTTACTCATAAGAATGAATTTCTTTTATAAAACATGTTACGCCCAAACCATTATTTTCTAAATTTGTAATAGATGGATTTGTTATATAGTACCTGGATTCGAAATTCACTGTTAACTTCCACCATGACCTAGAAAAACAAGATAATCACAGTAATTAATTTTAATGGAATGCTTTGAAATTGATATTATTAAATCATTTAAAAATCAAACAACGTTCTTGTGAGTTCTTAGAATTATTTATCAATCTGAAGAGCAAATGGATCTGGCTTATGTCTTAGATCTGATGAGAATGCCAAGTTAAGAATTTTTTGTTTTTAACTTTCAAGTTTGCTCCCCTTTTTCCTTTTCATTCTTAGCCTGTGCTGACACTGATGATATAATCACATTGGTAGCAAATCTGAAGCTAGAACTGAGGGGGAATTAAAGTAAGAAACTCAAGCTCTCTTAGCAAACTCTGGATCTGGAAAGCTGGAGTTACTGAGATGCTATCCAGTGGTTTCCATAATTCAGAGGTGTAATGTTCAAGCCTTAGACTGTAGAGTTTCAGGATCTGAGCAAGGTTATGTGAAAATAGAAAAAAGGATTCAGAGTGAAGAAGGAATATGAAGCAAAAGCATTCAGAAAGCTTCAGAATTGTTTCTTCACATGCCAATGCTGAGGGAAGATGTTCTAGTATTCTTGAGAAATTTAAGATGATAATTTTTACCTGATTTGAAATATCAAAATATAAAGTTCCCAAACCAAATAATTTTCTTTATGTGAAAGTTAACTCCTATTTGCTGTTTTATTGTGAGCACTAAAATCAAAATAGATGATATAAATTTACCCAACTGTAGCAAGGATAGGAAAATACGATGTAGGGAGTCTTTTCTCCAGCTTTGAACAATTTCCCTGTTCAACCAAGTGTGCTAGGCAAGTAGCATCTGCCTGCTGTAAGTGACCCTTGATCTTTATATGTGACTTGTTGTGAAACATAAGGATAATTTAAATCATTTTTCTTTAAAGCCATAGGCATTTTTAAAAATACAGACATTATATATGGAGCCAAATGTCCCCATGTAAAATGTACATTTTAAAAACTAAGAGTGGATTAGAAGGCTAGCTTGCATTTATTAAAATTTCAAATTTGAGAATCTATTAAAAGAGTACATATCTTTAGTTTTTATTTCTTCCTAGTTAGGAGATGTTCAATTACTAATTAAATTTTTTTCACAATCAAACTTTATTTGCATCGGAAATCCAAGGACATTGTGTTGTATTTACAAAATACCAGCATAGTAACTTTTAAGTATAGTAAATTACTTTTTATAATTGGTTTCAATTTTATCCTTACAGAAAATATAACATTTCAGTCTCCAACCACATATGTTTTAAAATTGTCATGACTATTAATTAAAGAAACCATGCATTTATGGCTAATGTTGTCTTGTATACAGATAATTATTTAGTCATGACATAATACTAATCATAATAATTATCACTCTTATAATTCACCGATGATAACAATGTTTTTAGAAAAATGTGTACATTTAATCTTCATAACAAATACACCATTAGTATCTCCATTTTATTTTGTAAAATTATAGGTATATTTTTGCAATACGTTATTATCTCTATTTTATAGAGGAAGAAATTGAAACTTGGATACTAATTTATGGTTACCTACAATCCCACACATTTTAGCTTAAGTTTGTGCTCTGGCCCATTCTCTCGGGTAAATTACTAAGTAAAACATACTATGGAGAATAAATATTACATCTTTAAGAAGTGTAAAAATTCTGGTTTTAATTTAATTTCACATTATCCTGTGATTATGATGATTATTACATGTATCAACGACAACAAAAATAAAGCTGGGAAAAGCACGTTAAACGGCCTCGGTGGTGGCGCACGTAACTGCAGTGTTTCTGAAATCCCTCTGAATGCAGAAGGAAAGCACAGTGACGCAAATGCAGAGCACTTTCCCTCTGTGTTGTTCGTGGGTGCAGGAGAGGGACCGGGGAGCCCTCATTTTTCTATTTGGAAGTCATTTCTTCACAGCACTGTACACCTCTGTTACCTGTTTTGCACTTCTGTTCTTGCAGTCAAGGGTCAGCACCTGCTGTTTGCTTTGGATTACTGCGCCGGATGACTAAGAAGTCTTTCTGACTTTATGAAGCTGGGTCATTCTTTTTCCCATGGAGGTGATTTAGGCAGAAGACCAAGTAGGTTTCACCATAGTGTCAGACTCTCAATTGGATGGGTAATTAAAAAACTGCCATGTCTGCTTAAATATGTGGCTAGTTGACCTAAGCTTATTATCTTCTGCTCAGGGTCTAGAATAAACTCGGACACAAACCTTCAAATGTGAAATGAAATGAGAAGATTACAGGGTAGAATAAGAATACTTTCAATGTATTTTCTGAATTCTTTGAGCTTTAGTTTGCTCAGTTGTGGTATGTGTCAGACTCACTTATGTACGCAGTTCCTTTTCTGTTCAAGCACCAAATCCTTGTGTCCCCTAGGACAATACTGAAGTGTTTTGACCATGGGAAAAGTGTGATAAAATTGTGGGTTTAAAAGATTCCTTCGACACTGGCTGGTAGGAGTGGTGGGAAAAAGCAGTGATTATAGGCTGGGAGCATCAGGTCTTCTGCATCCAGTCAGGCTGGCTGTGAGGAGGAGTTAAACAGAGCAAAAGCAAAGGGAACCACAGGAAAAGATCAAGGGAGACATATTAGATGGAGTGGACAGGACTTGCAAACAGACAGGATGAGGTAGTCGGGAAAGGAAGAGGGAATCTCAGGTGATGACAGCTTTTAAGACAGGGACTGACCACAAAGCAGTAGCAGTATTTAGATTAGAACACATTGAATTTGAGATACTGGAGAAATGCCCAGGTAAAGGTATTAAACAGTTGGAAATAAGATCAAATCTCTAAACAAAAATCCAGCCTGGGTATGTGGACTTGAGGTAGATCTGCTCAGAGAAGGCAGTAGTTGAAATCATGGAAGAATTTGGAAGTCCTCAAGTAGGGAGACGGCAAAGAAACAACCGGTGGCTGAGGATGACAGCAGAGGAGTTCCTACTTTTGTAGAACTGGAAACAAATGTAACAAAGACAGAAGCCATAGAAACAGGGGGAAAATATCACACATTATAGTAGCTGTCAAAGAAAGAGGAAACTAGAAGATAAATGGAGTGGTCATGAATATCAGCATCAGGTGTTACAAAAATGGTTGAGCTGAGTGAGTCCTGAGGAAATCCTGAGGTTTTCAGTGATCTTCAAGAGAATTTTTCCAGTTAGATGGAAGAAGCACTTGCCTGAGAAGGATTAGGGAATAAAAAGAGGGATAAAGACAGGCATTTTTCAAGAAATTTGGGGATAAAAAGAAACAGAAACACAAAAAGAATTAGAAGCAGGTATTAAGGAAATTTTACAGAAGAGGAAGACCTGTTGGTATTTGAAAGTTGACAAGGAAAGTAGGATACTTTGATTTGAAAGAAAAGAGATTCAGAAAGGAGAGAGTTAGTAGAGGTGTACAGGGAGAAGAAGAGGGAAAAGCAGAAATGAAAGGACTTGAAAGACAGAGGACAGAGAACAGGGAAAGGATGGAGATTACAGTAAATTGGTTAGGAAAGGAAAGTTGAAGCACATTGTTCTGAGTGACCTAGATCTCGAGGCTAGAGCAAGGGTGGGGCCGTTTTCTGCCAAGGGAGTGGCTTGAGTTCAGAAACAATTTGCCAAGGAGGCTGCTATGGAGATTTATTTAGCGATGAGTGGGAGGCGGGCAAAGCTGAGTGCGTATCGGCTCGCTTGCCTACTGATTGTGGGCACTGGGGCAGCCACTCAGCCAATCTGTGCCTCAGTTTCCTCATCTGTATAGGACACCAACACCCTTGGTAAACCTAGAATTCGGTGAAGCAGTGAGAAGGGAATCTTTAATCACTTCTTCCTTGCAGCTCTGTTTTAGGAGCCAATCCATTTATTTTCTTAAAGCCAGAGGATGCAAAAGTGAGTGCTAATGTAGTGATTCCCCAATTACAGTTAATTTTAGGAATTTGTGATATTGAAGTTTATTTTGTTTTTAATAAAAAGAGACTGGAGAAAGTAACCTTTCTGAGGAAAATCTACAACAGCTAATATTGTGACTACAATTGTAGTCACAATTTGATAAACATCAAATTCTAATGTATGTATCTACTCTTATGTAAGTCACAAGGATACACTTGAAACAAAAGTAAAGTATAACTTTTTAAAATAAAACTTCCTCTTTTCTCTTTCTTTTGCACTGATCTCACACAGGCTCTCACTCTGGGGCTGACAATAACCCAGTGGCTTGATTTCTCATATTTATTTACTGGTCTATTTCGTTGACAAATACATATTGTCTATGTATTATATAGATCCAAGGCATCATTAAGATTTATAAAGGGCTAACTTAAAACAGTATGGTAAGCTTTAGATGAAATGTCAAGTAAATGCGATACGATACCATAAAAGTGTGAAAAAAATCCAACATGATTATTTCCATGGTTAACATCTTGACAATTTTTAGGAGAGTGTGTGGAAAGAGAAATATAAGTCATCCCCCGGCTCCCTTCTGCTTTGTGTGATTAGACATTTGTTGATCAATCTTGTCATGGTGCAAGGTGCTGTGCTGACACAAAGGTGAATCAGACGCAGACCCTGCCTTCAAATAACTTACAGTCAAGTAGTTTTGTAAGCAACGGGCAGCTATGAACTTGGGGAGATATGGTTTCTCATTAGACAAGTGTAAAAGACTGCGCTGTGTTCTCGTAAACCAATTAAGAGCACGGATCAGCTGCCAATGACATTCAAAAAAAGTCTGACCTGTCTAAGTCCATTAAAGAAATCTGAGTGCCAAGCATAACCTGCGAGGGTGGCATGACCTAGCACTTGGGAAGGGTGTTACTCAGTTGAGGCAGCAAAAGAAATATGAGCCCAGTGCCACGCGGAGCCGGCTTCCTGCTTCTACCTGGGACAGGGCCTGTCAGGACACAAGGATTCTCATTAGCAGGGCTCTGGCGAATGTGTAGTGGAGAGTTATGGGAAATTAACTCTCTGGACAGTGACCTAGGCTCATATTTTTAAATTGACAAGCCTCTTCAAAGGAGGTGAATCTTGACCCTGAGGGCCAGGCCTTCCGACCTAACATGACAATATTCCCCAGCGCTTTAGATTTTCCTCTTACTCCTTAAATCCTAGAGGTGGCAAAATGTCTTTACTCTGTGGTAACTCCAACAAATTAAGTGGTAATGAATTTGTATTCTCTATGTTTGTGAAGGTAAAGGAAGATGCTGGTCTTAAATCTGCATTGAAAATGACAGAATTTTTAAAACACAGTGTCAGTGGAGATGATTTTGATTAAATATAGTTTGTAAATTTCACTGAATAGGGGACAAAAATACTGTTTCTATTTTCTATAAAATACTTTGCTGAAATGCTAACCTCTGTAATGTATATCACTACAACATGTGCATAAGAAAGCAGAAACACTCCTCTCAGACTTGCCTTCCCTTTGGTCTGTACCAGTTTTTTAGTCCTTCCTTGGATTTAGGGGACAGTGAATACAGTTAAGGGAACTTAAAAGGTCTGGTTCAAATAAGTCGATGAGAGATATGAAAGTAAACATTATTTTCAGTGCATTTCAGCCTGAGTGTTGAGAAATACTTGAAAAACTACTGCTCATACCCTAAAGGATTTCAAACAAGTTCAAATTACGGAGTTTGTTAATCAGGTAGAGGGTTTTTTTAAAAAACAAAAATATTAACCTATAGAAAAAGAGAAATCTTTTAAATCTAAAATGCAAAATCAGATCATTTGTGCTAAGAGATAAAAATAGTTTTATCTATTCTTTGGGCCTGAGCTACAGAAATTTGCCTTTATAGAAAAAGACCTCATCAGACCCAGCATGGTGGTGCACAGGTGTAATCCCAGCACTCTATGAGGTTGAGGCAGGAGGGTTGCAAATTCATGTTCAATTTAGCAACTTAGTGAGACCCTGTCTCAAAAAAAAAAAGAAGTGTTGGGGATGTAGCTCAGTGTAAAAGACCTAGGCTGAATCTGTACTGCAAGAACAAAAATCATTTTTCAGATCGTATGCATGTTAATAGATTAATCGGACCTGGCAATTTTGCAAGTAATTTTCAGAAATCATTAGAACTCTAGAAATTCCACCGGCTCTGTTTTGCTTTTCAAAGTGATCAATGTTCTTTGTTTTACCACTCTCCTAACCTTCCACACAGATTTCTTATATTGGATACACAGGTAACATCATTTTCTAGAGAAAAGAAAATATAATCTAACTCTTCCCTTCAACTGTGTACACTGACTTTCTAGAAAGAAGGAAAGAAAGACTTTGTCTTGTAGCATTATATCAGATGTGAGCTATTATTGTCTCTCCAGAAGACTTACCAAAATAATGCAGTATTTGTGTAGCAATCTTGGCTACTTTAGGAGTTGCTCTGCTTTTTGTTTTTCTTTTTTTTTTTTTTTTAACTTGTGCTGAGGATTAAACTCAGGAAGCTTTACCACTGAGCTACACCCAGATTACTTTTTATTTTTATTTTGAGATGGGGTCTTGCTAAGTTGCCTAGGCTGGGTTCGAACTTGTACACCTCCTGTCTCACCCTCTGGATTGAGAAGTTAGGATGACAGGTGTTTGCCATTGCACCCAGCTCCTCTGTTTCATGTTTTCTGATTTAACCCATTTCTCTGAGTAAGGTATAAGCTTTCACATATGTAAGCAGATGTCACAATATTCTGTGAGCAATAGTTGCCCAGTTCTCTCGTGTTTTGCCTGAAAGCTATTATGAATTTTTCAACTATATTCCTAACATGAACTTCCATTTATCTACTTTGAGCAGAGATGAACACAATTTCTTCATGAAAACCATTTTTTTCTTTTTTGGTAAAAGCAAACATTCATACTAAGACTAGAAGAAAGGAAATTGGAAGAGTTTGCTGTACTCATGGTTGTTTTAAAAAATACTTTAAAACAAAACACAGATATTTAACTTCAAGGGACAGTTACCAAACTGCCTGGTAAAACCAACAGTAAAAATAAATTATGACTTTAGAAAGTGTAACATTTTACAAAAAATTATATCAATGTAAAAATAAAATATCTAAGTTCATTATATTTTTCAAAGAAATAATTTTCTCGAGGCATATTAGAAACTTATGGTTGATTCTAAAGTAAAATATAATATGGCCAAACACTCTGTGCCCTTCTAAAGCCAGTCCACACACAAACAAAAGATTTCCTAGCTCAGGAAATCAAATACAAATGCCCAGAACAATTTTCAAAAACAAAAAAGTTCTGTCAGAATACATGATTTTGGTAAAGTAATAGATTCTATTGAAGAATGGTTAATTAAAAAATGACTGTTTAAAGGAGTTTTATAGGATATAATTCATCAGAAATAATCCTATAAATTAAGAATAAGTCAAATATAGATTTAATGAAATTTAGTACACAAATATCTGACAGAATTTTCATCAGTTGAAACTATACAGTAATCTTCAATGAGTCAAAGTTATGTGAAATTAAAAATAAAGTATTCAATTCTTTGGCTATACACAATGTTCGTATGCGTCACATACTACATAATGCTCATCGATCCGCACCATAATCCAAGTTATGACATCAACTAATCTTAAAAGGCCATGAAAATGTCCATGGAATAAGAGTAATTGTGGGAGGGCAAGATTAGAACTTAAGCCATCATGGTACTGATGCTCATTTATAACTGGTTTTCACCCCTCTCAGTTACTCAACTCACAAGCATACTGTGAATCAAAGACCTAACTTGTTATACAAACCCAACATTCCAGTTCAGAACTCAAGCAAGTAGAGACAGATATATACTGCATTTACCTGGGCCATTTGCCTGGCACAAACTTCTCTGGGTTACATGAACCTTTCAGTGAGAGAAACGCTGACTTTAAACTTTCTGCTAAATGTGAAATTGATACAAAATGTTGATGTTGTTCTTAACATTTACCATCTCCAAAAAGAGAAAACTAGTAACATGACGGAGGGGCATTAATAAGGCACTTTTACTACATTGTCTGGCCACCTACTGTATACCTTTCTTAATAAAGTGACCACTGATTTTCCAGTAGTAAGAACAAGTACAGTGATAGCTATGTTTATTCCATAATTACAGCCATTTCTTTCCCTACTGTGTTATTTATAAATCGCCTATATTGTCATTTTTAAAATAAAAATATTGTTCTAAATCAAATTATTGTTATGCAGTATGGGGCTTTTGATAGGAGTACTGTGGATTCTAACAGCACAGAAATTAGGGAGATCACTCAGATTGCTGAAACGGTCACAGACTGCTGATTTTAATTTGTATGGATCCTGTTTTCATGTTCTAAAAATTATAGAGACCTTACCACCAGAGATATCAAAAGCATAAGATCATGCTTAGGTTGAATATCAGGATACACTCTCAACGTTTAGTGTAAAAGTCCATCTGCGCATGGGAATCTGAGAAAGGTAACTGCAGAGTGAGAGGAATGTCTTCAGTTTAATATTTCCTCAGCATGACTTTGCAGTGATTTCGATGTCAGGTTTATGATATGGTGAGTGGACATGGATGTGGTTAATATGATCTGGAGTCTTCAATTAAGGCGAGAAATACTATTTAAAAATCTACTTCATAAAATCACCTTGTCATTAGCATAAACTTTTAATGGGTTTAGGTTAGAAGTACCACTAAGTAACACTGTCTAGAAAGTCCTCACTTGCTTTGGACGAGGTTGAGTCTGCAGGAATCCCCTGCAGGGTCCACTTACCAGGCAGAGGAGCAGGGCTGCTGCTGTGAAGGGTTGCCAGTCCATCGCCGCGGTGGTGTCCCTTACATCCGAGACCAAGGGAGCTTTGTTCTTCTCTGTTCTTTTTCTTTCTCCCACTCAGCTGGCGTCTGATTAAAATGATTTCCCAGTAGATGTTCTTACATGCAGGCTTTGAGGTGTTTCTGCCTTCCTCTGGGAGAAGGACTGAGGTACGTATAACCAGTCTGGATCCCCACCCTAAAAACTTGGGCTGGTCTCCCTGAAATGCTTGACAAGATCATCATTGCTCCCAGGTAAAAGCTCTGGGACACACCCTTCTTCCAGCTGAAAGCAGCTTTCCATGGGCTGAGGAAGAATCACGGCTCTGCTGACGGTTTTCAGTGGCAGACACTCCAAGTGACCAAAATAAGGAGTTATGCAATTTATAGGGGCTTCTCACCCTGGGTTTCATTTACGAGTTATTTAACTCTTCCTATATTAAAGAGGGAGTGAGAGTTTGGCTGCTCACGTAATTCAGAGGATTATTTGGCTCATGTTCAAGCCAAACCCTCAAGACACGGTAGAAAATTACAAGATTTCCATTTTAGTAGATGTTAAGAAAGATCTGGTTATTTTCTAAGAGACAAAAAAAAAAAATCACTAATGTTGAGACTGAGGAGTTTTTTTTTTTTTGGTAGCATAATTCATTCAAGCATGTCTATGGTACTTACAATTAGGTCTTGCATGACTTATGTAGTCACAATTCCCTTTTAGTGACCAGCCTGATGCTCACAGAAGCCTCCATTTTCTTTAAATAAATACTTCCTCTCCCTACGTATTTTTTTCTTTAAAAAAATCCTGTCCTTTTCAAACACAGTAGCACAAAACTTAAAACATTTAATCACTAAACTAGGTCAAAGGAAGAGATGAACACCACCAGTGAAATCCTGCTAGCCATTTTTAAACTGAAGCGCAGGGCTTGAAATACAGATGGAATCCCTGAAAGTTGTTCCTCAGGTGAGGTGTGTTAAAAGTCAGGGCTGATTCCCAAGCACAGAGCCAAGAATCCACATAGTGAGCCAATTAGAACATAGGCAGCAGGCTGAGGAAACAGCTGCCCACACATGCAGGTAGAAAGCTGAACGCAGCCCTGCGGCTCCTGAGGATGGTGACCCTTCCAAGGGAGTGCGTGCACATATTGTTGGCACGTCTTCTTCTCACCTGGCGACACGAACATTGTGGGTAGCAGGAAGCCTACAGGTGCTGGATGCCCTCACAGTTGGAAATGCCAGTCTGGAACAACAGAGCTATCTGATAAGATGTTGATTATGGTCAAAGGATGTGGAAAGTGTCCCAGAAAGGGAGAAAGTGTCTCCGAAGGTCAGGCAGTCTACAGGAAGCTGCCATTTTATTACAGATGTGGCAAAGGTTGACAGTGGTTTGAAATGTCATCCTAGAGCCCAGAGGGAAGGCAAAGGATTTGCTGGGGTTTGCTTGCAATGAATAAAAATTGTAAGGATTGGTTGATGCAAATAAATAAAATTAAATGAGATGGTCAGACCAAATTTTTCAGGAGTGGAGTAATATGGAATGTGAGTGTGGACCTAGAACTTAGGTGGAGCAGCGTACCAGGAGAAGGACTGTCTGAACATGAGTGACAGAACACTCACTGGGCACCATGGATGGAATCTACTCTCATGGCCTTCTAGTGGCAAGTGAGTGCTTTACCCTCCTTGGATTCCGGGCGTGGTGCCATGGCTGCTCTTGGGCTCTCTTCATCCATTGAATTACCCTTTCGGAAGCCCAGCCCTCGCTCCAGCCCTAACTTAATGCCTTGCTCCAGTGATCCCAACCACCTAGAGGAATTTGTAGGGCAACTTTCTGGAGGGGAGGGTGTGACAGGACCCCAGGGTTGCAGTGCAGAGGCAGTCCTGATAGTCACAGGATAGCTACTGACATTAAGCAAGTGAGAGAGGAGAGTTATGAAATGCTACCCTTCTTTTCTCTCTTTGTCTTTTTTCTTCTTACTCATTTTAATTTCCTTAGCATAGTGCTGTCCAGCAGAACTTTCTGCAAAGCATAAATAGTCTCTATCTGCACCGTCCAAAATGGTAGCCACTTGCTGCTTGTGACTGTTGAGCATTTGACTTAACACTCATACGACTGAGGAACTGAATTTTTAACTTCTCTTCAGTTAACTTACATTTAAATAAGCATATGTGGCCAGTGGCCCATCTGATGGCCAGTTCGGAGGCGTTAGAACACCGCTGATTTTGTTGTCTTCTCTCTTGCTCAGTTCCCTCCGATTTTTGAAATTGCAATTCCCTTTATTCAAATCTATCTTATTTCTTTTCTTAATCTACCTTTGTTCCAGTTTCCAATGAACACCTTTGAAAACCCTTACCTCTGTGTAACAGTGGACTCCATTTGCTTTTCCAGACTCCTTCCTGATCCTCTTCCCTACCTGTGAATTAGTAAACTTCAAGACACCGGCAACACGAGCCCACATTTCCCGCTCACATCTTCTCAGCTCCTTCCGCAGTTGCCTGGTCGCTAAACTCACACTACACTTCGGCATCACGGGCTGTGCGCGCGGCTTCTTCCACCCGGCCTCCATGCGCCTGCATCCTGTCTCCGTTCTCAGCTCGGGTTAGTACCTATACTTCCCTGCACACACCAGTGGGTCTCATTTCATACAGATTTGATGAAATCTGGGGTAATTTTTCTCTCGGAATTTCCCTGGTAAGCTGGCAGAGTTTCTAATAGTAATCAAAGTTCCCCTGAAGAGACAGTTTTCCGGTCTTTGATAAGGCGTTGCAGATTCTAGAACATCATACCAACAGTCAGCATCTCCATGTTTATTTATAGCTAGGAATGCTGCAAAGCTTTTTTTGAAAGTGAAAAACAGTGAAATGTTCTACTGACCTAGACTTTTTTAAAGCCTAATTAAAGTAACTGTTCTAGCCAACATCGTTACTGGAGACCCATAATATGGATTCATATTTTGGAGAAACCCTTTGGAATTTATGCTTTTATCTTATATGTAAAACTGTGGTGTGATATAGGTATCAAAATTATTCTAATCAGCCCTACCAATTGTTTTTTCAAAATGTATGAAAGATACAAATAAATCTTAAAAATGGAAAAGAAATCAAGGTGAGTATATTAAGGATAGGATAAACACTATACATTTTATTACATTATGCCTTTAATTTTAGAAATATTTGCTTAATTATGTAGGGACTAAATCTCACAATGACAAGAACTTTTGTTATGGTGATTCAGCAGTAACAATAAAAGAAGTCAGTGTGGCAAAATGTTCACAACTCTGAAGTCTAAATGCTCATGTATGCTGTTGTCTGTGTTTCTTTTTGTTTGAAAACTTTCATAATAAAATAAAGATAATGGACTAAAGTAGGGGTTGCAAAATGATGGCCCTGGACCAAGTCTGGCTCCCTGCCTGATTTTTGTTTTGTTTTTCAAAACTGGAACACAATGTACTCATTTGCTTGTATGTTGTCTGAGGCTACTTTCACTCTACAAAAGCAGAGCTGAATGGCGTGACAGACATTGTGTGGCCTGCAAAGGTTAAAGTGATTCCTTATCTGGCCCTGTACAGAGAAAGCTCGCCCACCCTCTGACTGGGTGAATAGACTAGAGACTGTAGCACAAAATCAAACTCAAGATTGACTTGTAGGAAATCCCACCACGTTCTGAAGGATGTAAACCAAAGTTGTGATGGTGGCAGATAACTAGGAATATTTATGTGGAAGATTGCAATTTTTTGAACTTTTGCCTGAAATTCATATATGTTATCTAGAAAAATTCAAGGAACAAGAATTTGAAGAGAAAAAATTTTATTGTTCTGTCATCGCAGGTGTTCCAAAACTAGAACACTAGGCCTTGAAGGGTTAAAGAAATTAATCACTGAGGAACTGGTGTGTAACAGTTGGAACGTGCAGAGCACAGCAGAGCCATAGGCAGAGACTGGATTATAGGAAACTATGCAGCTTCAACTCGATCACACTTGCCTCTCGATTGTGTACACGTGATCATAATAAAAGTACACCGTACAACTACTATTCACAGGTACAAAGTTATAAAATGTGTAAATATCAATCAAATTTGAGGTTTTTTGTATATAAGTATATAAAAGTGCTAGCATTTTTCTCTTCCATGCGTACATAGGCCAGTGGCTTATTTTAAGTGCTCAAATGTGTACCATATGCTGTGCCTGGAAGATCTGTATGGAAGGTAGGAAGGCTATTGGAATGTTTTGAACAAAAATATGAAGATTTGGACTTAGATTTCTTCTCTGACTTTTGAATGAATTTGAAATAAGAATTGAGTACATTAAGAGTAGAATGTCTTGATCTGTGCAGGATTCTCTTGTTACATCAAACCTCAGTGAAAGGTGTAAATGAGGAAAATGGAATGAAGAGTGGGTCTGAAATATCTGAAGTCTCTAAGCTTTAATAGTGTTGGCCGAATTTACCTGTTTACCCTGTTTAATATATATAATATATTATATATGTTTATAATATATTATATATTATATATATATAATATATATAATATATAATGAATTTCACACAATGACCAAATCACTTTGGTACCAATTTTGCTAATACTGGATGTGTCTTTATTCTAAGATGAACAGCATAAAGTCCAGACTATACTGAATTAATAAGTATAAAAATGCTGTATGATTTGTTTGACTTGGGTTCAAATTAAACATTTCTATTTGCAAAAAAAAAAGAAATTAATCACTGAGGAGATGATGTCTTTATAATTAAGTTGTATTTTTAGTTTAATGTTTTCAGAAAGGCTTTATAATGACAAGCCAACGGCTGAACAGTCTTCCTTTCTGTTAAACCAGAGCTAAGAAAAATCTTAATTTTTAAAGTAAATTCTAGAACAATCATTCAATAGCACTGCATCTTTATATTTTTATGTAGAGGGGAAGTTTCTGAGCAGAGAAATACTCTACATGATTTTGAGAACCTTATGCTTTCTTAAAACATATATTTTTAATAAAGTAGGAGTAGAAAAAGAGGATAAACATTGCTTGTGCTTTCACAGAATAAAAACTAATGATCCTAACTAAGCATCCATGCAGTCTATGTTCCTCACTGTGCTACTTGATGTCCAATATTCAGAATACACTGCCTTCAAGGTTATTCCATTGTAGCCACAGAACGGGAGTAGTATGACATTTATCTAAAAGCCTGCATTCTCACACACCTCTGTATAGCTCCTGCACCAGTGTGGCATTTGAGTTTCATGTAC